GGCAGGGCCGCTGGGACCTGCGCAGGAGCGCGGGCGGACCTCGGCCAAGGGCAAGCGGGCGCGACTGGGTCAGAACGCAGGGATTCCCCCTGAACCCCAGGTCGGCGGCGGGGTGGGGTCCCAGCGCACCGCTCCGCCTCCCCCAGTCAGATAAAGCCGAACCTGGCCAGCGGAGACGGGGCCCAGCCAAAGCTGTGCAGGAGGGGCCGAGAGAGGAGGGGTGGCAGGTGAGGGGCCAAGGTGGCGCGCCCCAAGGCTTCCTGCGCACCTCCTTCCCTAAGCCAACAGCACTGCGTCCGTCCGGTCCCCCTCCCAGATGTCAGGCCCTCTCCTAACCCCTGACCCTCTCCTGCCCCCTTTTGGGGGCTGGGAAAGCGAAAGCGGCGGGGGCCCAAGATCCAATCTCACCTTAGGGAGCCCCAGGCTGGGCCCTGGATCTGGGGCAGAAGGAGTAGGCGCCCAGGGCAACATCCTAGAATCTCCACACTCAGAACTAGCGGGCGGGGGGTGGGGTGGGGGTGGGGGTTTGTCCCAATCTCTCAGTCCCAAACTGGCACTTTATAGATGCGCCTAGCGAGGCCCTGACACTGACAGCTGACTTTGGAGTCTGGGTGCTAAACCCCCCAGGAAGCAGGGCTCAGGCCCTCCTGGTCACCTCCCAGGCCAGGCCTTCAAAGGACACCCAGCACAGAGGTGGGGCTCCAGGGACCCGATGAGACCCTGCTACACTCCTTCCCAGTTCAGTGTGACAGCCCGGGAAAGACCTGGCCTCAGGACCCCAGGCAGCTGGGAGCCCCACAATTTCCCGTAAGAATCTCTTGTTCTGAGGAGCCTGGGCAGCCGGTCCAATCACCGCTCCAGGCGCTTCTTCAGAGGCTGTGTGTCTGACAAAGAAATAGCCGCTCCCCGCTCTCTGTGTTGGAAATACAGCATTTTCCTGTTTATGAAAACGCAGGGTCGTACGCTGCTTCTCCGTTTCCTCAGGACGGCTTCTAGAACGACAACACAAAGGACCAGCTGTTGGCCAGCGTGGTCTGTGTCCTGCGTGGCTACTTGCCGGTCGGAGCCCTTGCAACCACAACCACGTGCCAGCACAGACTGCATGGGAGCCACTTAAAGCCAAGGAAACCAAGGCTGGGACGGAGGAGGTGCGTCCGGTGCTCAAGGTCACGTGGATGACGGGACACAGATCTGGGATTCAAGCCCAGACAACCGGGCTCTGGAATCAAATTTATTAGCCACTGTTGCTCAAGAAAAAAAAAAAGCCAGGCACTTTTCATTATATGCTTATTGAAAGCGATGTTAAAATGGTGCTGCAGGAGAAAACATTATTCTGTTCGAGTAAATACATTGCGCTGCATTCTGTAGGAATCTAGTAGGAAATGATGCTTCCCACATGAGCAGCTAGTTTTGGCTAGACTTTGTTTGAAAGGCAAGCCTCTTGGTTGTGATCCAATCCGGGGCCCTTTGGGGGGATTATGGGGGTGCCAGCTTGCCGTCCTGTCTTCTCAGACACGTGGCCCACCTGGGTTTCCATGGCCAGTCGCCAGGCCTTTCTTCCACGTGCCCAAACCACCAACCTTTGGGAACTGGCTGACCGCGCCCCATCTGCACCCCCCAGGGCCTCTTTGAGGGGACCATAGGGACGATATCCCAAAGACCCCATAGTGAGTGGCGTTGTGAGGCGCCACTGAGGCCGTTCTACCTCATCGTCACCTGCCTCCCACAGAACAAAGCACAGCCTGGCCTGGTGCCATCCTCATCCTCATTCCTGTGCCTGAACCCACTTTGCAGGCTCTGGGTCAACCCACCTGGCTGAGGGTCTTCTTCCTCTTTGCTGCCCCTCTACTTTTCCAGGGACTTGTCCTCGCCCCCCACCTCCTCCCAATGACATGCCAATAAACTCCAGACAAAGGCTTTCCACCCTCAAGCCTAGGGAGCCTTCTGGCTGCACTTCCTCCAAAACAGCTTGCTCCTCTGGTGGGCCATGCCACATTCCATCTTTTCGATGGTCCCAGTCAAAAGGCATCCGCTCTCTAGCCTTCCTTGCCCAGTGTCCAGCTTCCTGCTCAAAACACAGGAGGTGTGTGGCAGTACCCAGAGTGTAGCCACACTGTGTGGGGGCACTAACGTGTAGGGACCAGGGGGTGCATATCACACACACAACCCTTTACCACCACCACCACCATCTACCCTAGTACCCAGCCCAGACCCCCAGAGCTGCCCCTTAGATCACAGCCACACCTGCAGTCCTGCGTCTACTCACACGGTAGGGTGGGCTAGTCTACAGGCTGGTGCTGGTGGAGTTGCTGGCCTCTGGACGCTGCAGGAACCTGTAGGCGCCTTCCTGGAAGGCATGGGTCTCCATGCCACTGAGTTGGTTCGGACCTGTAGTGATCCCACAGGACAGTACAGAACTTCTCCATAGGTTCTCCAGGACTGTCATCTTTAAGAAAGGAACCGCTGGCTACAGTGGTTAAATGCAAACCTGTTAACCAAAAGGTCGGTGGTTCAAACCCAAGAGCCGCCCCACAGGAAACAGATGAGGCCGTGTGCTCCTGTAAAGATCACAACTTTGGAATCCCTGTCCTGTAGGGCAGCTGTGAGTTCAATGGGGCCCAGGGCTGCCAGGGAGGCAGGGGAGATGGGCATCATTCTCCTGCAAGCAGGTGGTGGCTCTGGCTAGCACTGGCAGGGCTTCTTTCCGGTGACTTTGGGACTGATGGCCCCATCACTCTACCAGGGAAGGACCTTACCATCAGAGACCTCTGAACAGGCAGCAGGGATGTTTGTGGCAATTTGGTTATCAGCCACATGTCCTCTCAGGGCCTAGACAGCTGGCAGGCCCAGGGTCCATTCGCACAGATGGGCACGTCGGACCTGAGGCATGTGGGGACCAGGGCAGGGGAAGACCAGGTCTTGTAGGCTGAGCCTGCACCTGCCTCCCCCTTCCTAACAGGACATCAGCAAAGGCAAGGCCCTCATTGGGGGAAGGAGGGGGGCTTGGGTGAGAAAGAAGTAGAGAGAAGGGGAGGGGGAGAGGAGAGGGGAGGTTTTGGTGGTGTGGTGGATTAGGCTGCTAACTGCAAGGTTAGCGGTTGGTGGTTCAAATCCGCTAGTGGCTCCACAAGCTCCTGTTTCCGTCAGGATTGGCAGGCCGGAAAGCCAGAAGGGTCCCTCTATTTGCTCTGAAGGCTTGCTATGAATCCACTGGGCAGCAGGGCTTGGTTTGAACTTGGTGGAGTGAGGGGAGGGTGTTCATCCAAATGAAGACTTTGGGTGTCTCCCCAGAACGTTCCAGAAAGGGTATCGGATGGTGTTGGCTCTGGTCCTGTGGCTGAGCTGGCTCCATGGTGGCTGTGGGCACTGACTTTCTCTGTCCCCAAGGAGCGTAGTCTGCAGGCCCACGTGCGGGTCACCTGGACACCCTGGCTCTAACTGCTGCCATGAGGTCTGGGTGTGATGAGAACAGGGAGGCACTGGGCAGTGAAGGAGCTCACTTACGGCCACACAGAGGAGGGGCGGAACCCTGACCCACAATCCAGCTTTCATTTCGGCTGCCAGAGAAATAAACAAACACACACACCCTGCCACTAGGTTGGTTCTGACTCTGAGTGCCCTGTTAGGCAGAGTAGAGCTGTCTGTCTTTACTGCAGTCCACTATCTCCTCTCTCTCTCTCTCTCTCTCTCTCTCTCTCTCTCTCTCTCTCTCTCTGCAACTGGTGTGTTTGAACTGCTGAGCTTGTGTGAGCCCAGCACTATACCCCTGAACCAGAACCCGGATGTTTCCACTGACACTCAGCATACAGAGGAGCAGCCCTATTGCAGGGTGACTGGACCTGAGACTTGGCCCCAGGGACCCAATATGGAAGGTCCGTCCACCTGTCTGTCCATCTGTTCATGCAGCAGCTTGCTCACCTGATGGAGGTTGGGTTCACCGGAGGCACCTCAGAAGAAAGGCCTGGCAAACAACTTCCAAAGTCAGCCACTGAAACCCCACAGCACCTTGGATTCCGATACACGTGGCCCCCAGGAGTCCAGTCCCCTGGACGACAGCTGAGGTTGTTGTGAGCTAAGGTGGCTAAGGACACAACGTGTTAACCTGGAATCCCTGCTAGCCCTCCTGGGGGAGGCAGCATTGAGGGAAGCAGGGAAAGGGGGTGGGCTGGGGAG